TACGAAAGAATCGGAGCCGAGTATTCTCGATGGTGTACAAGGACGCTCGTACGAGAGAATCGGAGCCGAGTATTCTTGGTGGTATACGAGTATACTCGTATGCAGGAACGGAGGACGGTTCCTGGGGCCGAGTACGCTTGGTCGGAATACGAGTATTCTCGTATCGTGCGGAGACGGTTTCGAGAGCCGAGTATGCTCGACGAGATACGAGTATTCCCGTATCTGTGGAACGGTTTCTAAAAGCCGAGTATGCTCGGTGGGATACGGGTATCCCCGTATCGTGCGGAAGCGGTTCCTGGAGCCGAGTATGCTCAGTCGGGGCATGAGTATGCTCATGCTCGTATCTCGTCGAGCATACTCGGCTTTCGAAACCGTCTCCGCACGAGTATGCTCGTGCTTGTAGGGCTATTGGACATAGGCTCCGAGTGCTCTCGGCGGACTGCGAGTTCTCTCACAGAGGATCGAATGTTCGCTGGCGAGCAGCGAGCAGGATCTGGTCAAAAGGCGTACAGCCGGGCCTCTTTTATTACCCGGCTGTCGCCCGACTGGCTTAGGATCGGCAAGCATAATGCTTGAAGCATCGGCGGTGTAGCCGGTGGGCCCCCACCTGGTAATTTTCGGAACGGTCGATTGTGGGGGACCGTCTGGCGATTGACCGCCAGTGTTTATGATAAGCGTTTATTGGCGCTCGATGCGCCCTTGTTGGCTACGGACGATGCTCGATCCGTAGCCGTAACGATGCAGCATGCATCGTTACAAACTTATTTGATACTATAGGCGTATAGCCTAAGGATTGTGTTCGACTTGGTTGAAATATTGAGACCAATTTCTTAGAAAAATATAATTTATTTTTCCTCGTCAGAGAAGTAGAGTAAAGTACAAGTTTTGTTTGATTTGCTTAAGTGCGCCAGAGGCGCTTTCTCGGCAAGAGTGTAAGGCCGAGAATTAAAAGAAAAATTGACGGGCGCGGTAAGAAATTACCGGCCGCGTCTTAGTGTGTTGAACGGGTCCTAAAAAGGACGGTTCAATTGAGTTAGCTCGTTGCAGCCCTTTCCCGGCGTCGGTGGAACTCCGTTCGGGAAGTGGTCTTCCGTCTGACAACTGCTCTCTGAGCAAGCTCTGAGCGGTGAAGTCTGTACTGCGATGGATCGAGTCTCTGAGGTGCTGGTGGTGGCAAC